GGGGGAAGGGGCGGAGTTGGCGTGGGGAAGGGGCGGAGTTGGGGCGGGGCCAGTGGAGTGTCCTCTTTTTTTATTTTTTAAATATTGTAACCCTAGGTACATGCATTGTGCTGTGTATTTGAATATGTTTGCTTGGTGCCAGGTCTGAGAATTTTTAGTAAAAAAGCTAGGGGTGCCAGGGAACTTGCTGTGCTAGTCTATTTACACAGGCATTTTACTGACAATAGCAAATCCATATACAGTGTGGTTTCCCCATGTAATCCTCTTGGGCACCCTTAGGCCACTATGCAGGTTTACAGCAATGGTTGTCCAGATCTAAATGTTTTGAATTTGTAACCCCCTTATTTATTTTATTTTGCTTGAGTTTTCTAGTGCTGAAGTTTGGACTGAACAGCCAACTGATTAGGCCTTGACTGTTTACAGAGCACTTTATGAACACCGTTGTTTTTGTTTCAGTTCAAAAAGCGTAAACATTCTGAGTTGCACCTCTTACTGGAAACAGACCATCTGACTGAGTCTGTTCTTAGAGGATTTGATACAGTACCATTATTACTTAAGCCTTTAATAGCGTGTCCAGCTTGCCAAAACTTAATATACTCAAGACATTTTTTAAAAAATGAAATGTTTTAAATTGGAGTTGTGCACAGTTAAATATAGATAGGGGCTCAAAGGCCTTACACCTGCAACATAAACTGAAGCTTCCCCCAGCAACTTTAACTTACACTGGGACTGTGCAGCTAAGAATCAGAGCGATACAATCCACTCTAAAAAGAACAGGAGTACTTGTGGCACCTTAGCGACTAACAAATTTATTAGAGCATAAGCTTTCGTGGGCTACTGCCCGAAGAAGTGGGCAGTAGCCCATGAAAGCTTATGCTTTAATAAATTTGTTAGTCTCTAAGGTGCCACAAGTACTCCTGTTCTTTTTGCGGATACAGACTAACACGGCTGCTACTCTTAAACAATCCACTCTGTGTCAGCCCCCTTCTCTCCACTGTGCCCTAGCTTTGTACAGGTGCTGTGGAATACTGAGCCCAATGTCTGTACCACCTTTTGCCATAAAAGGCTAGGCATGACTTGTCTCCAACAACTAGAGTGTTGCCCATTCCAAGGATTCAGAAATGAGAAGTCAGATCTCAAATCACGAGATTGGCTTGAGTTCCTTTTTTTAATTAGGGTTTTATTTTTACTTATTTGTTTGTATTTATTCCTTTTCTTTGCCTCAACATTTAGGCTATATTTGGTTCACATTTTCAAGGTTGTCTTTGTAGCAACAAGGGCTAAAAACTCTTTTTGCTGAGATTCTCATACAGTAGATGACCTCAGGGCAAGGACTTTAAGGAGAACATCAAATATTGGGAGATGTGGCAGAACTGATTATCTCTTACACTGTGTGCTATATACTGTAGGCATTTTTCTCTGGTATAATGGTATAAAAAGTATGATGTGATAAAATTTTGATTGGATTTTTCATTACAGATTTATTGGGTCCGTTTTACCAGGACCTTTTACGATATGTATTTTTTCCTTACCAATATCATAATGTTAATCTAATTCTGGAACTAATATGTAGGTGAGGCATATGTATCAATAATTGCAACTTTTGGAAATCTCTTCCAAATGTGTATTTCTCCTTCATTTGCTAGGAACAGATAGTATGGAATCACAGCAAAGCTCACTTGAACTTTGAGGAGTCTAACTTCTTAAATACTTAATGGAATTTGGAATTTAGAAAACTGCTATATATTATTCCACACTGGTCAAAATGAACTTTTTGGAAGGAATTATTTGGCTTTCCAAAAAATATCAGCATGGGACATTTTAGCCCCAAAGAAAATTCTTTATTAGGAAGTCAGCAACTGAAAAATAAATAGGGACTTAGAATGTGTTGCTTTTTTTTCACCCTTAGCCTTGAGCATACTGGTGAATCCGATACTAACGTATACAAGAGAACAAAGCAGAAGTCTTTACAAAAATAGTTAAGGAAACACAGTAACTGTTACCATAAGCTTAACAAAACAGAAGATATTTGTGAGTGATCTTTCAAAATGCTTTAAAAATTTGGTTGAGATACGGTATTTTGAGGCGATAAACTTCAAGTCCCATCACTGAACTGGGCAGCGTCTCCTAGGGTATGTCTATACTACCTGCCAGATTGGCGGGCAGCAGTCGATCCAGCGGGAGTCGATTTATTGCGTCTAGTGTAGTCTAGACGCACTAAATTGACCCCCGAGCGCTCTCCCATCAACTCTTGTACTCCACCGCCATGAGAGGCACAGGCAGAGTCAATGGGGGAGCAGCAGCAGTCGACTCACTGCAGTGAAGACACCGGGGTGAGTAGATCTAAGTACGTCGACTTCAGCTATGTTATTCACATAGCTGAAGTTGCGTAATTTAAATTAATCCCCGCCTCCTATTGTAGACCAGGCCCTAGTTAGATGACTTTCAGTGGTTTGCAAGTTGTACTCTATTTTGCTTACAGAAAAAAATATGTTTCTCAGAAGAGTACTTGTTCCTTGAAACTACAGTGGTAGAGCCCTGGGTATTCTGTGCACATATGCTCACAATAATCCCTCTTTTGCACACAGACCCTGTAGTTAAAGCAAAGATATTTAATTTTTTTTCAAGACTAAAGGAATAAGGGACTGAGTACTTCACTTATATTGATAGGTGAAATGCCATTGGCTAAGGGCAGCGATGTTTGTCATTCTCCCTTAATATAATCACAGTGGGCCACCTATGTGTGTTGAGGGATCTAAATTAGAGAGTGGAAAAATTCAGCATAGTATCTGCCTTACATTTTTTCCACCTCTGGGGCATGATCCCTTATGCACATAACTAGTTCTTACTCAAAACAAGTAGTTCCATTAAATAAGGCTTAATCTCATAAAGAATTGTTTGGAGGTTTGGCCCTATATTTGTAACATTTCCTTAAGATCAGTTATTCTTCCTCTGTTGTGCAAAGCAAATTAATTTATCCGTTTAAAAAAATTAAGGGTGAAATCCTTGTTCCATTGAAATCAATGACTTCAGCCAGGATAAAGTGATAAATTATGTTCTCAATAGTTTTAAATATTCTGTCATGATATTGGTCTCTGTGTTTAACAATCTGAGTATGTTTTTACAAAATTGTGATGTGATTGAATATTATGTTAATTTCCTGAGGTATAATCTACTAAATTAGCCGTTACCATGATTATCACATTTCAAATGAAGATGAATTCATATTTAAACTGAAAGTGACTTATTTGCATGTTTGATAGGAGAAAAGCTTTGGTTATTATCTGTCTTGAAATTAAGCAATCGAATCCATTAGGTATGAATTGTTTCTGCTGCTTATTTTAATTACAGAGCATCTTTGAAGACACAGTGTCACTATTCATACCTGTCCATGGCTTGTTCCTCCATTAAGCCCAGCCTGGTCATGTCCCTGCATACGATGTCCCAGTATCTAGTGAGTGGTTGGCCTCTAGGTCAAACTCACCTTGGTTGTGTTTGCATTATTTTCTTTGTCATGCTACCATCTGTTTGGCTTCTGCAGTGTGCCTATCATTGTAATCTTTTTGATTGTAGTCAGTCCTATAACCTGATTTCACACCCTACTCTCCTAACTTCATTTGTCTTAAAATCATTCCACTTTACAACTGCTTCTTTCAAAACACCGTCATCTCTGTTGCGTCCCTAGTCTTCTGATGTCTGTTTCATTTACTGCACTCTCCAGACCATGGAGTAGTACTGTTAGTACACCAGTTTGATAAATTTTCACTCTGGTACCAAATATAATGCTTTCATAAGTCCATAAATTCATCAGTTTCTGTGCAGCACTTGTGGGTATGGCACATCTCTTTTTAATCTCATCCTTCATGGAACCACCAACACTGATCAAGTTTCCTAGGAACATATAAGATTCTGTTTGTTCAATGACTCCACTACTGCTGCATTTCAACACTCATTCCCTTGTCCCTTTTCTAAGATGCAACCACTTTGTCGTCTTGGCATTTATTGTAAGTCCAAGGCCACTACACCAGTTTTCCAAGTTAGCAAAGAGTATCATCGTTAATTCAAATGTGTTTGCCAGTTGTTGTCCTCTGTATAGGTTAAGGAGTTTAACTAGATTGTCCAATCTCATGTCCTCCAATTTGTCTAATATTCTTAATGTCCAGTTTAAGAACATGATGACAAGTGACAGTGATTCCAGCCCTTTTGTCTTACACCAAATTTGTACTTAAACCAGTTGCTTAATTTTCCACCAATTTTTATGGCACTGCAGGAGTCTTCATACATAGCTATTATAATTGTAGTGATCTCATCTGGAACTTGATATGATTTTGCTACTTTCCATAATGCTTCCCTCCAAACCGAATCATATGCCTTCATGCAGTCAATGAAAAGAGCAAAATCTTTAATCCCCTTTCTCACTTTTTCCCATCAACTATTGGAGCATGGATAGCTGATCAATGCAACATTGGCCTGTTCCTTTCCTGCTATTTACCCATAATCTGTTGAAAATTACTTTCATTGTGATTTTTCCCAATACTGACAATAAGCTTGCACCTCTATAATTCTTCGGATCTCCTTTCTTTAAGATTGTTACTGTTACCTTTAGCTAGTCGGCTGGTACCTCCTGTTGCTCCCATAACTAGTAACTTTTTTTCTAATGCTGTGAAAATGTCCTGCCAACTTTTACCAGCTCAGATGTTATATTGTCTATTCCTATTTTTAACTGTTTCACTGTTCTTTCTGTATCTTCTTCTGATGGTAGTTCAGTGCTGATATCCGTTCTGCCTTACCAGCTGCCTTGTTCATCTAGCACATTTAGAATGCCTGAAGCTGAATGATCTGCAGTGCTCAGCATTTTATCAAAATGCTCCTTCCATACTTCCGGAATGACTTGAGTATTTGTTATCAGTCCACCAGTAGCTTATTTTACTGCTTGCATTGTTGAGCTGATGTTTCCATGCAACTTACCCTTTTTGTATACTGTTTTCATATCTTGTTTTCTTGATGCCTCCTCGAGTTATTGAGCCTCTTCTTTCCAAAACTATTTCTTGTCCAATCTTTGTGATTTCTTCACCCCCCTGTATAAAGCTTTTACTTCTGCTTTTCCAGTAGTCTTGGCTTAGTTACACTTTTCCAGTAATTTTCTTGTTTCATTGCTTGTTTGTTTGCTTATGCCTTCCAGCAACTCTTCTGCTGTGTTTTGTATTGCTTTCTTGTATATTTCCCATCTGGTCTGCAGTGAGATTTCTTCATCATTCAAATTAATGTTCTGAAACATCCTCGAAGCATCACCTTGTGTGCTTCCCTCAGAGAGCTACTAGCACACTCGGCACTTCTATAGAATCTAACATCCAACAATGATTGACTATGCCGGGGTGGCCAACCTGAGCCTGAGAAGGAGCCAGAATTTACCAATGTATGTTTCCAAAGAGCCACAGTAATACTTCAGCAGTCCACAGTAATACTTCAGCTCCACACACACACACACACAGCTCCCAGAGCCTCCCACCCACCAGCAGCCCCGCCAATCAGAGCCTCCTTCTCCCTTCCTGCACCTGGGGGAGAGGGGGAGGGGGAGGAGCAAGGTCATGGTAGGCTCAGGGGAGGGGGCGGGAAGGGGTAGGGTGGGGGGCAGGGCCTGTGGCAGAGCCAGGGGTTGAGCAGTGAGCATCACCTGGCACATTGGAAAATTGGCGCCTCTCGCTCCAGCCCTGGAGTCGGTGCCTATGCAAGGAGCCACATATTAACTTCTGAAGAGCCGCATGTGGCTCCAGAGCCACAGATTGGCCACCCCTGGACTATGCCTTTTACTGATGATGTGATCAATCTGGTTTTTGGTTTGACCATCTGGTGAGTTCCATGTAACCTCATGCATGTCTTTGTGAGGAAGCCAAGTACCACCAATAATCAGATTGTGTATTTCATAGCAAGTTCTTAATCTTTCCCCATTATCATTTCCTGTCTTGATGCCATGTTGTCCATCACTGTTCATTTGCTTACCATGTCTGCTACCAGCTTTTGCATTCAGATCTCCCATTATCAAAGGAATCTCATCTACATTGCTATCTAGCTGTTGATAAAACACATCCTCCTCTTCCTCTTTTGCTGTTTCTGTTGGTGCATAACAGCAGATCATAATTATGCATAGTTTATTGTAGGCAGTAGTAAACCTTGTTAGGACAATCTGCTCAGACATTGGTTTCTGCTGTTGAAGCTGACTATTCTCTTATTCACTGCTATCGCAACACCATCTCTATGATTCATTTGCCCACTTGAATGTCCAGAATAAAGGAAAGTGTAGTTTCCAACTGTCATCTTTCCTGTGCCCAGCCAGTGTGTCTCCCATATGGCAGCAAGGGAAGCTTGTAACTTCCTTAACTCCTCCACTATGAGCTCAGTCTGGTCTGGAGTCAATCGAGTTCTAGTATTCCAGCTCACAATATGTGTAATATATGTAGCTATTATCCGAAATCCATGACCCACTTCCATTTGTTAGGTCTGGGTTGAAATCTGTTTAAATCAGTTTGGTTTGTTGTTCTGTTTCTGTAACAATTGAGTTTCAGGTATAATGGTTTGTTAGGCCAGTCCACCCTATCTGGTTCATAGGAATGTCTTGTCATAGCCTGCTAGGTACAGATATCAGTAGTTCCACCCTAGTTTACTTGCATTCCAAGGCGAATGATCTTGGAGTGCTCAGTTTTGAAATTGGGTTTCCCATCTCCTAGACAGACTTGCTTGAAGAGGCTCTGAAATTAAATGAGTTTTCCATCTCCTAGATACTCTTGTTTCACAGCATCTTATTCCGTAACCCCTTCTGGGTTTTCCCCCATTCACCATACAGTGGATTTGTCTCTATGCCATTGGATCCCAGCATGAGGAAGAATTGTATATCTGCTTTAATTTTAGCCTGTGTATTAATATATTGTAAATTCCAATTACATTTGGGTTAATGTACAGATAATGGATTGTCTTAATTATATTAGTAAGTACTGTGCAGATATATAAACATATACACAATACTTTTTTTGTGTGTGCAATCTTTCATAGATCCAAAGAGGACTGGTTATCTACATATGCTTCTTCAAAGGAGCCAGTGAGGAACTCATTCCAAAAATGGGTATGTTTTATTATTGGTATTCTTACAATAAGGGATAAGCAAAAAACAATGGGCTTAATTATCCAGCAGCTAAATGCATGGAGAAGCTACAGAATCAGGCCCAGTATGAGGTATGACTGGAGAGGGCAATAAGAACAATATCTTTCAAAAGAAACTTTATAAATGAGAACTTGTAAATTGTAAAATTCACTCCATACTGAAATTATTCTGAGCTGGTAATTTTATTCTGAGTTCTATCTTGTATCTTCCCAGTCATGAGTAGCAGGTAAGCCAAACCCTGGTTGTTCAGCTCCGTATCCTTAGTGAAGAAACTCATTTCTAGTCTCCTTTGCTGTCCTCCTTTCAGTGACTGTTTTGGCATAGCTCTGTATAGAAGCCCATCAAGCTTGATGACATCAAGCTCCCTGCCTGTGAACCAAGTTTGTCTTCCTCAGTCCATTTGACAGGTGTTTGCATCTCATCTTGTGTCCATGAACTAGTGGTGGACCCTCTTGGAAGAATGGGTATATTCAATGTAAGTGATTTTATTCTTATTAATAACAGTAATGGGGTGTTCTCACTAGGAAGATGCCTTATGGCTGCTCAGGGGATTAGCTCTGTTCAAGATCTGACACCATCTTCCGTCATTTTCTCTCACTATGGTCCCTTTAGCTCTCTGGGACTCACTCTTTGTGAGTGCTCCCTCTTTGTGACTTGGCCCTCTGCCCAGGTCATTATATGTGTTTCCTCTTCAGGGTGTATCAAAATCTCAGGATTGACTGTCAGGCTACCTTTCCAGGCTGTCCTATAATTCAGGACTATGCCACTTTCCTCAGTGGCAGGTAGGAACTACTACTGTGTTCCAGCACAGGTGTTATGCTATACAAAGCACGCAGGATCGGTTTTCGGGGGGGGGGGGGGGGGGGGAGGCGGCGAATACGCCGCATTTATTGAAAATACAACAGTTAGCATATGCTACACACACACAATCCTGCCAGTTGATGTTTATAGTTACCAGTCTGTTGTCACTCTAGTCAATCTAATGGAGCTGGGCTCTGTCGGTCATGATCCCCTGCTTAGCAGGACTGAACCCAAAGTTCCATGGCAAAACACCCCAACTTTATAGTTGTAAATTCCCCTTTGAGTCTATGCATTTTGCAATGTCCTCCTGTAATCATTAGTCCCTAAGTGGTGTTAATCTTGGGGTTTTCTGCTGTTATCATTTGATGGTTATTGTCAGGCTTCCCATCGTTATCTCCTATTTGTTGTCTCACCTTCGGGGGTGCCTGCCTCACCTCTGAGGTCGTCAATGCTGTTAACATGTTTAGCGTGGGATACAATGGATGTTTTCTGATTGTCTCCTGGTCTTTCCAAGTCTCACTTTTTCTTGACCATCTGGACATTTGTGATGACTTTCACACCTTATCTTTTCCTGATGCATGCATTCCTCCTTCACACAAACAAACAATCTCTTACAGAAACCTTCAAAGGTATACAGACAGCAGTATTTTATATTCAGCAGGATACATTGTAAATCAAGCCTTGCTAAATCTTATAACTAAAACAATTCACATTGGGGCTTCAGGCCCTCAACATTCCTCTTATCTCCTTAACATAGATACAAGATCCTGTCTCTTACTTAGTAAAACCTCAAAACAAATAAATGTATATTTAACTAGAGTGCCTAATTTGTAATACATATAGGAAACCATAGTAGACATGATAACTTATCCTAAAACAAAAGGGTGACCATAATCAGTCATAAGGATTGTTCTGGTCTGTCATTCCTTTCTGCTATTCAAAAAGGGTGGCTGGCAGGATGAAATCAGATCATACATTAATTCTCATAGTACAATTATAAAATCCTGCTCCTACACAGGGACCTTCTGTTCAGCAACCACAGTCTGCTTACTCCCAGACCCCATTACTATTTCCCTGTGCTCCTTCCTATTTTCTCTACTAGCTCTGGCCCCGCGAGGTTACTAGCAGAGCACCCTCTGCTCCCTGTGGCTATTTAACTTCTTTCAGGTTCTTGCCAGAGTGCCTATTCTAAGCACACCTCCCTTTTCCCAGGCAGTGACTGCAGACTCCTTCCCCTGCAGCCTCCTTTTGTTCTCAGCTTGCTGGTTTTGTACCAGCCCAGAATACACCTGTTCACCTGAGCTTCATCTTCTAAGGGCTTGGCTGCCTACCCTAATTCTTTCCCAGGGCGTGCCTGTTAGGTTAACTAGCCCCTTTCCTGCTTCGTTAACCTTTTCAGGTGAGGTGTGGAATGAATACCCCATCACAATAACATGCTAGAAAATCTGATCCAAATGATCATATGGTTCCTTTTGTGACATATTACTGATATGGATGTTAAGGGAATGATTTGGATCCAAGATGCAGTTGAACATCTAGAGAAAATAACCTTTCAAATGACACATGGCATGACCTTCAGTTCCTAATCAATCAATCAGACTCCAAAGAGAGACTGCTGAACTCAAATTAATATGCAAATTAGACACAATTAACTTAGGCCTAAACAGAGACTGGGAATGGTTGGGTCATTCCACTAATCAATTTTTTTTCTCCCCACGTTAAGTTCTCCTCACACCTTCTATGGGTCATCTCAATTATCACTTCAAAGTTTTTTCTTCTGCTGCTACTGGTAGCTCATCTCAATTGATTGGCCTCTTACAATTGGTATGTGTACTTCCACCTTTTCATGTTCTCTGTATGTATAAATATCTTCTGTCTGTGTGTTCCACTCTGTGCATTGAAGAAGTGGACTGTAACCCATGAATGCTTATGCTGAAATAAATTTGTTAGTCTCTAAGGTGCCACAAGTACTCCTGTTCTTTTAATCAATTAGGAGTATTTTAATACCGACCTCACTATATATTCAGGATATAATGATGTACCGTGAGCCAGCAGAAGGAGTTGGGTAAAATTATTTCCTTCCCTTTTCTTATCAGAAATATTAGGTATATAGTTGGACATTAAAATTCAGGCATAGTTCTCAAGATAAAAAAAATATAGCAGTGTCTGCAGCTCCTTGCTTCTTGACAGCATAAGTCTTAATATTTGCATCAGGATAGAGATGCTAGGAATAAGGTCAGTTGTTAATGGTGTTTTTTCTCTGTCACTATCCTATGCATCCTTTATTTTCTGTTTCATTTCTTCACTTTCCTTGTTTTTTAGAAGTAGAGATGGATTACCAATGCATTACAATTATCTCTTTGCTTAGGAGCATTTTTTGGGCATCGGTGATATAGTAGCAGTTTGACAAGACTGTGGTCACAAAATATTTCAAGCTATTTGCTAGTGCTAGCAGAAAGACCGCACTGTGCAAAAGCCCAGATGCAGAAGTGCTGAAGGAATGTTGTGTTTGTGAAAATTCCATGGGGATATCACTGGAGAACAAAATAGTTTTTCATAGCAAAACTGATACATCCAGGGCAGCAGCAGCAGTGCAAGTTTCACCATACTGCCCACTAACATAATCTGACAGTGATTTAAGGAATAGCTCATTCTCTGTGAGCGATTCAATCCTTGCCCTTACTAGGATGCCAGTGACACTACCAGTTATTTCTAGGGCCCTATCAAATTCACAGTCTATTTGGGTCAGTTTCAGGATTTTAAAAATCGTAAATTTAATGATTTCAGCTATTTAAATCTGAAATTTCACGCTTTTGTAATTGGAAGGGGGTCCTGACCCAAAAAGGAGTTGTGGGGGGGGTCACAAGGTTATTGTAGGGGGGGTTGCGGTACTTCTACCCTTACTTCTGCGCTGCTGCTGGCAGGGAACTGTCTTCAGAGCTGGGCAGCTGGAGAGCGGTGGCTGCTGGCCAGGAGCCCAGCTCTGAAGGCAGAGCAACCGCCAACAGCAGAGCAGAAGTAAGGATGGCCTAGTATGGTATTGCCACCCTTACTTCTGCACTGCTGCGTGAAGAGCTGGGCCTTCAGTCAACAGCCATCACTGTCTGGCCACCCAGCTCTGAAGGCAGCGCAGAAGTAAGGGTGGCAAGAGTGTAACCCCCCGTAAAATAACCTTGCAACCCCCCTGCAACTCCCTTTTGGGTCAGGACCCCCAATTTGAGAAACCCTGGTCTTCCCCATGAAATTTGTGTGCTTTTACCCTATACTATACACAAGACCAGATTTCATGGTCCGTGATTGTTTTTCATGGCTGTGAATTTGGTAGGTCCCTAATTATTTCCCATTGTTATGGTGGGTTTGTGGCATGGAGGCCTCTTCACTGACAACTGGAAGGGAAAAACAACTTGGTTCGCATTGCTATCAGATGGCACAGCTTTCAGTTTCTGCTCTTCTGACTTGCACTTGAACTAGTGACCTAGAGAAGAAAGGCTGAGTTTCCATTAACAGTTTTTTAAGTCACCACAGTGTCTATTTTATTAGTTACGTAATCTTTCTAGTTAGTAGTACATTTTCCTTATGTGAATTTTAAAGTTATTTAAAAGAATATCTGGTTTCTGAATCATAATCCCACCTATACCTCATTCAAACATCAGCCCTCAGAGAAATTTACATGGGTTTGGAGAGGGATGATGTGGGTTTCCCATTCTTGTATCCCATGTGTGGGGCGGGGGAGTGCCGGGGGAAAAGAAATGAGGAGATGATATGTTCTATAATAAGCATACTATGGAAAAAGGGGTATAAGGTAAATAGAATTATGATTGCCTGTTTGTATATATTATGGTTCAAGGATTAAATCTACTTTTGGCCTCTCCCACAGTCTCTTTGTGGGCACTGTTGTGACAGACCTACAACTGTGCTTTTCTCAGAATGGAGTCCCACATTCACCTCAATTCAGATGGGACTGACTATTCTACATTACCCTCTGTTTACCAGCCATATTATCTCAGCAGGCCCAAGAGGGTTTGGCTCAGACTGTTGACTTCTCTCTGGAAGTTTGTGACTAGTGTGAAATTACAGTGACTCGGGACAGCTACTTCAAAACAAATATTATTTATTGGTCTGCAGGTATATACCAGAGAGAAAAGGGTTAAAAATTACAAAAGCCTACACATATATTCTCTTACCTATACTTAGCCTTTCCTTGCCAGTTTAAGTAGGCCCCACTTAACCCAGGCAACCCCAACACTGGGGCTCGGTGAGACAAGCTTCTGCATCTCTGACAGGCTGACTCCCGAATCAGTGTCCCTTAGGCTGTCTTTTATCCATTTCATAGTTCCTTTGTTCAAGAGTTCCTGCCTGAGGATCTCCTGAGGTTTCCAGCAGGGCTCCTGAACCTGGTTAAATTGCTTTATGCAGTTCTTCACCAGAGGGGGTCAGGGGTCGTCTCCCCATAGTAGATTCAGTGTATTGGCCGTTTGAACACCAGGCAGAGTCATGTTCCTGGAGTCCTGAGGAAAGCTGCAGCTGGAATTAACCATTAGGGTTCCATAGAGTTAGCCACCCCACAATAACCATCAAGTCCACAGCTGTATTAATACATCAAGTTAATACAGATATCTCCCATGTTCTTCACAATATATAAAAACTTTCTTCAGTATGGAAAGTACTGATCTGTGGTTAATATTAACTGCATGGAGATATAATATTTGCCTGGTGTGCATTGATTGATTAATCTTCAGATTTTTTTTCACCTTAGAATATAAATTTCTCTTCACAGCTCTGCTATGAAATTTGATTATTAAAGTTCAAATATAGACATTGTAATGAACCATTTTAAAATGTTTTATTTGAATACATTCTCTTAACCATCCTGACTGAAGTATTTGTTAATATATTGCTTTTCACAGGTATAGTAGGTTTAAGATTAACTAATTTTAGACACACAGTACATTTTTAAATTTAATTTAATTTTATTTTTTTTGTTTTGCAGTTAATACGCTGTTGAATGTTAAATTAAGTGAAACTGAAAGTGGAAAGTATGTTTCTGTTCTGGATTTACCAGGAAACTTATTAATAATACCCCAAGCTACGCTAGGTGGTAGACTGAAGGGAAGAAATATGCAGTACCATTCCAACATTGAAAAAGAAAAAGGGATGCAGCTTTATTCCCATTTTGTAACATTGTGTGAAAAAGAACTGGCTGCTAATATGAAATGTGCTGAAGCAGGTGTTGTTGTCAAGTATGGCACATATGGAAACAGACAGGTGTTAAAACTGGATACAAATGGACCTTTCACTCATATGATTGAATTTTGAAAAATCAATTTTATGTATAGTATTATCCAGCAACTGTAGAATTTCTCATTTATAAGGAAAACAGGAGTACTTGTGGCACCTTAGAGACTAACAAATTTATTAGAGTATAAGCTTTCGTGGACTACAGCCCACTTCTTTGGATGCATATAGAATGGAACATATATTGAGG